TGAGCTAGCTGGTTTGTAATAACTTTGAACAATTTGAACATTTTAATTTATTGAGCTGGCCGTACTCTTTTCCTTTCTAGGGTTTTATCTCACGAGGTGTGAGTTTTACCTAGAAAGGTTTTTAATGAGGCGGCATTGCACAAACAGCTCAAATCTTTTGTCATCTGGTGTTTCTGTGATTGTTGAATATGAATATGTGAACCTGTGATTGTTTGAAGTTTGAACCTGTGATTGTGTTGTTTGAAATATGGTGTTTACTGTGTAACGGGCTATGGGCTGGCCCAATGGACCAGTGGGCCACGGGCTCAACGGGCTGGCACGGCCCGATATTCGGCCCACGGACCGTGCCTGGGCCGTCCACCAGGCACGGTGGACTGTTCAGGCACGACCCGGTGGCCCGGCGGGCCAAAAGGGCCCGATCGGGCCGTGCTTGGCCCGGGCTCAGGCCGTGCCGGGCCGTGCTGGCCTGTTGCTCATCTTTACTCGTTGGATAGACAATCTTCTTATATTGCCTTGTGGATGCCGTACAAACCCTTGGCAACCTAACATAGTTATGAAGTCAGGCATCTAAGATATAGGAAATGTCATTAATTTTTTTTTACTGTTCTGGGGTTGGGGGGGGGGGCACCGGCCCCTGCCCCCTGGTTCTGCCACTGGCCTTGCCATCATAGCTAATACCTATGAGATCTCAATACCTATTGGTTGAACCATGCTTCTTTTGATGAGCTCATAGAAATGGCTCTCAACGACATCTTCATGCACCAAAGCCTGTTCATGGGCAACGAAGCCTTGTGCCAGCCATCTGTTCACTAATCGATCTCTTTCTATAATGTAATCTTCTGGAAATACACTTAGATATAGAAAAGTCTTCAAATTGCGTGGAAGATCATTGTTGCTCATTATTAGTATGTCGTTGAGTCCTAAATTTCTATGCTTTTGTAATGAAGAACCAATTGAATTTCTCACCTTCTCCCACTCTTCCTTCATGGTAGGTTTATTCGCCGACAAGCCAGATTAGTAGATTACTTATGATGGCCAATGGAAGGCCTCCACATTCTTTAAGGATTTCATCTGAAACCTCTTGAAGTTGATCAGGGCACTCATCAGAACTAAACATTCTTTTAAGAAATAACCTTTTTGAAAGATGGAAAGTTTGTGGTTTCATTTCATACAGCCTGTTCGCTTCTTGGTTTCAGTCAGGGCTTATCAGCCAGCCAACAGTGTTTTTCTCTCACAACAAACTAGCGCCAACCGGACTTATCAATCCAGAAACCAATTAGCGAACATGCTCATAGACACAACCATCTATATATGAACAACATTTTTGAGCTAATAATACGTGTTGTAGTTATGATTCTAATTTCTACTGCTGCATTTATTCTCTAGAAATGCACATCTAATATTCTAATATCATCCGAGGCAGACGTAGACTATCATAAATTACAACTAGGTACCTAATAGAAAGGTGGTACATGTTAAAATTTTATATATGCAATATAATCAACAGAGATAAAATACATTTGAATGCAAAAATAGAATGAGGAAAACAATTCAGATTCTATCACCTGCCATGGCTTTAAAACTACTTATAACAATTAGCATAGATGCTATGCTACTTCTTTCTGCATTTAACCTACTACCTATGTGATTACCGAGATAACTAATATGATAAAGCATAGTTGTTGTGATGTAGTATTTGTCTACTTGAAGACGAGTTCACTCCTCTGCCGAACCCTAATAGTCCAATTGAGGAATTAAGTGAATGGAAAAATGCAGAGTATGAAATGAACAAGGAGCAGGCTGTTGTGCAGTAGCCTGCTAATATGAACGGGCACTGGCACAGTGGCACCTTTGTTTAGGGGGAATATGAACCTAGACGCTGCTGTAGTGACCAAATTGGTTAGAAAACGAAGAAGCTTAATGTTGAAGCAGAAGTACATTTGCTGTCACTCGTTTTACATGGACTAGTGCCAAAGAGGTGGAAGCAAAGCATGAATTCAGGAAGCTAGTAGACTCTAAAGACCAAAGTCGGTAGTTCTCAGGCTCGAAAATTTCTGCTGACTTATCCTAGTTTTCATGACGCTGTCTCTCAAATATGGGAAAATTTCTTTACCTCCTGAAGTTAATGAAAATGCTTCTGAATCTATTGGTTGTAGGTTTACAGTTATAGGGAAAATTGAAAGAACATGGAGTCAAACAACTAAAAAGGATTTGAGTATTACAATGAAATGCATGATTACAAGGAGGGATTATCATATCCCTTGCATGGAATGGCACCACAATAGCTACATGATCAAAGGAAAAGTATACATATTGCTCATTTATTGACGGGTAACGATCGTTAGACTACTGATGGATCTTGCTTCATATATATATTTACTATTTTAAATTGCGTTCATCTCGTTCCTGTGTTCTTGATTTGTTTGCAGGAAAGCATTCTCGGTCAGATCAATGCATTCTGCGTGGTTGATAACCAACGGAGCAGTTGTGTAATGATTGGTTAGTCTGAACCAAACTTGGCTGAAAGCCTACATGGTGAACGTCGAGTTGTCCACCGATCAAAGTTACCATAACTGTCGGAAGATCGGACGATAAGTTCTATAGACATACAACAGTGTTGTTAGAAAAGGATACTTCAAATACAGGAGAAGTGTTGTTAAAATAGGGCCTTGTTTAGATTAGCACGTTTCGTTTGTATTTGACAAATTTTATCCGATCAAAGACTAACTAGGCTCAAAAGATTTGTCTCGTGATTTACAACCAAACTATGTAATTAGTTACTTTTTTTACCTATATTTAACGCTTCATGTATGTATCCAAAAATTAATGTGAATAGAGAGAGAGTGAAAAAACTTTGAAACTTTGATGTCATCTAAACTAAGTCCTAGATGATACTTCGCACAAGCGCGCAGTACTGCGAAAAGCAGCTACTCGTCTTTTGCCTCTGGATGAGGGTCATGATCATGACTCATTGCGTATTTGCGCCTCCCGTATTCCGCAGCGGACTGTCTGCTACGTCGTCCTACCCTAGAGCCTAGCAGGCGAGCACACGCTAATCTCGAGGCGAGACGGGGACGCGAACGCGATGGCGAGGCCGCAATAAACTCCCCGTTTGGACGCCATCAGTGCGCCATAAATCGGCGCCACCTGTTAGCTGGGCCGTCCATGGCATGCTGCTGCGCATCTATGGTGCGCTAGCTGCCTCTGCCTGCCGCCCCCTCCAATAATTGTCGTCTCTGTTGGGCACAGCAGGCAAGAAAACGATGGCGTCTGTCTTCCTCCTCGATGGCTCGCCCTATCCGCCTTCCAGGGCTACACATGCTCCTCGCCCCCGTCCATCAAAATTCATTGCGAGAATTGCTTGCCGGTCAGACGAACCACTGAAGCAGGCAGGGCAGCCGCAGGGGCAACCCCTACACTACACGCCTCTGCCTCGCCCAGAGTGTCATTCATGCCCGCTGTACTGGCACGTCGTACTAATTGCTATTGTGGCCCGTGGCCCATGGCCCGGCCCGGTCTCTACCCCCTCTGTTTTTCTATCCATCTTTTCTCTGTTTCGGCCAGACCGCCAGAGTGTGCAGTGCAGTGCAGCAGAACGGCAAGCGGACAGCGACTCGCGGCTTTGTTTGGACGCGGCCAGCGGCCAAGACGCAGTTGCCACTTGAAGGCAACGGGTGTTTCCTACAGGCAACAGCCTCGCTTGGCTTGTTGCCGTGCGGCCGGGTCGGGTCAGCACGCTGTAGGCAGGTCGAATGGGCAGGAACCGCGGCGGCAGGCGCGCACAGGTGAGCATTTGTCCATCATTGTGGAGATCAGGCCGCACACATGCTCGGCATGCAGCCTGGCCCTGCCCGGTGCCCGCCGCCTGCCTCGCAGTGCAGTTCAGTGCAGCGCGGCAGCTGCGATTCTGGCTTCTGATCGAGTGCTTGTTTAGAGTAAATTTTCAGTGCAGCAAACTTTAGCAGCTGCGATAATTAATTATTTTTTTGATCTAAAAAAAACTTGGAATTTTCCTTGATGGGATCTGAACAAGGCCCTAGGGAGAAAAAAAGGAGCGGAGGAGATGCGGTTCAGATCGGCTCATCATCAATTCATCAGCCGTGGCTGGCTTTTGGCCGGAGCCTTTGGTGGTTCCAGGTGACTAAATGCATTGCCATTATATACGTATTTTCTTTTACAGAAGCCCAAGTGTGTGGTATGCGGTCACGACCCAACAACCAATTTCTAGTTTCTACTGTGACCGAACTCAATTTTCTCTTTTAAGCCCTTTCGGACGATGACGAGATGTGTGAAGCACATGACGAGCGAGAGCAATAGGCGTGGTCCCAACTCCCAAGTTCGTTGCACACAAGGGCTGGACCGACCAACGTCAGGGTCAATCCCTGCCTGTGCCTGGCCTCTTGTGCAGCACGCCTGCATCATTCAGACGGTGCCTCCAAAATCCAAACGAAAGTGGTTCAGATTACCCACAAGGATGACGCGCAACAGAAAATCTACCGCTTTGATACAACGATTTCTCTTTCGTCATAGACGCCAAGACGAAAAGCGGCAGAAAAAAAAACCTTTCATCCGTCTCAACTTTTCATCATACACCAACCACCAATGCATCATCATTTGCATGGTACTACTGGAAAAAAGAAGCTGAATAAGATTGCGGCGGATCGACAATAACAAGGAATTTAGATGTAACTGCCGCCTCAGAATCCTTCCCTAGAGGCACCACCTCATCATTGGGGTAAAAGCAGACCAACTGCATATCCAGGGAAGTATAACCGTCTCCAACTAAACACTGGGCAAACCGCCTACCACCACTTCATGTTTTTTTTTCGCTCTCGGTTTTTTTCTCAACAGAAAAACTAGGTGTTCCTACCACAATGCAGCTTGCCCAGACAGCCCTAATCTGAACCCAAGGCATACAAGAACTAAACAGAACAGAATGTGCACGGGAGGGCGGCTAATTACAAAATCTGGGAGAAGATGCCGACGCGCATTTTCTAAAGTCAATTGATCTCCAGCTGCCTGATGGCTGCCTCTGCCACTGCTTGAGCCTCGGCCTCGTGCTTAGCTTCCGCCTTATCATCGTCCCCATCCGCAGCCCTTGATTGCCTTGCCAAGAGAATGTCTGATGATGTACTGCGTTCCACAGCAGCATTATTCCCAGTAGCAGAAGATGGCACTTCGCTGGTAGCACCAGCTGAAGCTTCCTTGCCTTGAGCAGGCAAATCAATCTTAACGGAAGGCCTGATTGCTGGAACTGGAGCTGCCAGTGATTCCTTTGGGGCTTGGGTTTGCACATCCTTCATCTGAACTGGGATTGCAGTTGATAGTGATTCCTTTGGGGCTTGGGTTTGCATATCCTTCATCTGAACTGGGATTGCAGTTGATAGTGATCCCACAAGAGGCTGGCGTTGTGCATCCTTTACTGAGACAGGAATCACAGGAGACATTGAACTCTTCCTTGCTTGGTATTGCACATCCTTTACCTGAACAGGGATCACAGATGGAGCTGTTTCCTTCCTTGATTGATCTTGCACATTCTTTAACTGAACAGGCATCACAAGTTTCGGCCCTTGAACTGCAGCTGAGGCAAACATTGGAGAGGCTGGCCTCATGCGAACTGGAGATGCCATCCGAATCGGTGGTGGGTGGCTCATGAGTGGAGGAAGCTGCTGTGGGCGTGCAGAAGGAGGTGGGAGAGGTGGAGCAGAGAACACAGGAACAGCAGTCCTAATTGTGACTGAAGGAGCCATGCTGTGGCAAGGCATACGGTAGTGCCCAACTGGCACATAGGGGGCTGCCTCTGCAGCTGGAAATCTTGACCTTGGACTGGGAGTGAGGCTATCCATGGCCCGACCAGGAATTTGTGATACACCATCAGTAGATGCTGGGGACTCTGGTCTGGATCTTGAATTAGATTTAGGGCGGAATAGAGGGAGAATCTTCGAGTAGCTGGACTGAGAAGATTGACCAAAAGAAGGCTTCCTCTCTGGCTGCATGGGAAATTTCTTAGGGAATGGTGAAACATGAGGATAATTGGCCATCGCCATCTTCTCCTTCAAGCGATAATTGAGGAGGGCTCGGGCAATCCTGATCTGCTCCTGCTCATCATTGTTTTCTGGCTCATTGGATGAATTCACTTCCTCGCGTACCACTGTTGCAGAGAGATGAAACAGTGTGAGGTGTCAATGTATAAATAAAGAATGTCATCCCAAGATATTTCACTTCTTTCAATGAGACCAAACAGAAACAGGCATAATGCACAAGATAATCTTGGTCCAATTCCACTAACATAGTAAGTGAAACCAGGTAACCTACTTGCTTAGCTTTTCACACTAGCATGACTTTTTAAGTATTAAAGGAAGAAAAACTAATTCATGTTTAGCTTGATGAAGGGGTTCCAAATGAATTCAGAACATACAGTCCAAATGAATGAGAAGTAGCAATGCTAGAGATAAGATATCACCTGACTTACATATAATGGTATAAAACACAAAAGTACAAATGTTGGATGACTTGACTTGATAAAAATATAATTAGTTGAAAATTAGCTCAAATTTCTCATGATAAATTACTAAGTCAAGATTGAGTCAATATCCATCAGCCTGTTCGCTTGCTCGTATACGATCGTGGATTATAAGCTGGAACAGTATTTTTCTCTCACACAAAACCAGCCAGCAGTAAATAATCCACGATCGTTTACGGCCTGCCGAACAGGCTGCATATCCTAACCTAAAAAATATCTTTTCAAGCCATGGTGATACCAATTTTAACCAAGTTGCAATAC